AATTAAATCCAATAATAATCCAATTCGATCTAGATCGACAAGTCAGATCGAATGATCTGAATAGGTATCAAATATATTAATTTGAATATAAATGGATCCGAATATAGATCAAGGTTGATCCGTCCATTTTTTGATCTGCAACCAACGGGACTTTGCCGATTGAGTTGTGCAATATTGTGATGTTCCAACAGCTAATACTAATAATGATAAGCATGAATAAAATTATAACATTTGTTTTTCCTTGCACACTTTTGCAAAATCTTAATCATGCATCTTCATATTTTAACCCGTCGAATGTCTTATACTTAACAATATTGAGGAACTAATTAATATGTGCTTCTAATTCCATGTTATTAACTAAGTTAAACAAAATGGGTCGATTGAAAATAAGACGAAATGTCATTGAAAACAACCCTAGATACTGTAGCGATATTAATTGCTGGTTTGGAATTGATTCTTTAGAAAACACTTATGTTTATAAGTATTTTCCTTGAAAGTTCTTCTATTAGAAGTACATTGCATTATTTTTTAATAAACATGTAAGTTGCCCACTATCAAGGAACATCTAACTTTTTTTGTCAAACATGATTAGAAGTGCTTTTGACGATCTGAAACTGCTTTTGGTTATTTTAAAAGCATTTTCATACAGTACACTACTACTAATTATTTGGTCCAAAAATGGTTGAGTTGCATATACATACTGGTAGTGTCACTCATCACAATACTTTATACCAAGAATAATATTACATCATCAAACACTAAATCATGGGAAATGATTTTGTGTGTGTGTGTGTGTGTGTGTGTGTGTGTGTTTGTTCTTCTGTATATTTCTGTTTCAACCCTTTTTTTTTTTTTTTTGCTTTATTCTATTCAAATGTCAAAAATAAACTAAAATGTACACGAAAAAAAAATGTGTGTGAAAATCACTTTCCTCAACCACAAAGAGAAAGAGGGAGTATGCCCACTCAGGCAGGCAAGAATGCGTGTGTGTAAATTAGAATCCATGGCACGACAAATTGGCAACAGGGAATTAAATTTACAGAGATATATATGTATATTTCCAAAGCATATCCATGTGTATGATGAAGGGTGTCACATGTGCATAGTGTTTCTTCAAGAGGCTGACTGCATATTGCCATATGCATGCTTTGCTCCAAATGAATTAAACAATTAGGTCAAGTGGGTTATTTGGATGCTTCTCTTACAGCTACCCCATTTATTTACTAACTTATTGTTTGATATCCGATATCCTTAACAGAAACAGAACCTTTTAAGATCTTGAAAGTTGAAAGTGAAAGGATCAAACTGAACCATGCATGCCTCTCATGGACTCAATTATTGATGATATATATCCAGCTGATGCTCCACAAAAAAAGTTAGATTAAATAAAATTTTATTACTCAACCACTTAATATTACGGGTCTAGTGGTATTCCTCTTCACTTGTAAGTGAAAGGTCATAAGTTTGATTGTCGCCAAAGAGGAATTTGAACCACATTATTACTAGCCAAATGTGAGGGTAAGCACATCTCCTCTCCCTTAGTGTATATAATATCGTTTGTTCAAAAGAAATTTACTTTATTCAAATATTTTGATTGAAGTTCAACATTTAAATGTTGCACCATCTAGGGAATTTAACTCCCGCATTCATGAATTCTATATAACTCACATATTATGAAATTTAAACGAATTCAAATAGTATTTTGAAATATAATAATTATTTAAAAATCAATAATAGAGTAATATTATTCTTCACATAGTTATAGTAAAAAAAATTAATGTACCCACGTAATTGTTCATATTTTTAAAAATAATTATTAATATATTTTAAACATAAAAATAAATACATGTATTAATATGGGTACATTCATAAAATAAAAAAATATATGGGTACATATCAAAATTTAAATTATGGGTACAAATCAAAATTTAAAAAAAATATATGGGCATAAAAATTAGAAACACATGGGTGCGAATTAAAACTAAAAGAATATCGGTAGAAATTTAAAACTGTGGGTACAAAAAAAAAGTATGTGGGTGTATGTCATGATTAAAATTATAGGTAACTTAATTTTCTTAAAAAAGATGGGTATAAAAAGAATTGAAAATATACAAATTAAAAATAGAAATATGTGCAAAATTCTAAAAGAATTATTTATAATTGATTAAATAAGTTTTTCACTTTTAAAATTAATTTAATATTCAAATAATGATGTAGACAAAGATAAAAAAATGTTGATAAAAATAAATAAAATACGGTTTCAATTAATCATAATAAAAATGAGAACTTAATTTATCTTTATAATTATTATTTTTATTAATAATCACTAAATGGCAATGTTGACCTTTGGAGTTGCCGACACTCGGGAGTACTCGTTGCTAATTATAATTTAATATGTAATCAGTGGACCAAATGCTTTGCATTTAGCTAGGAGTGTAAATATTTTAAGCTATAAAATTATATATACTTGTGGTTAGTTAAAACGTCGCACATTCGAATCATGGGAATACATGCGAGAGCGACATATAGATTTGTATTTACTGAATAATGATACCTAGTTGTGGGTGACCATATTGAATCCTACATTAAAAAAAAGTATGTATATATATATGATATATGGTATATATATATACACACTTCACATTTTTTTTTTTACATTAGTGAAGACTAATATGACTTTATTTGTGTCAAAAAAAACAAAAACAAAAACAAAATGATTGTTTCTTTTTTGAAAACGACAACTTTGGTTTTGATTTGGTTTTGATAGCTCAATGTCGTTCATGAGCACAAGTACACGATCATGATAATGACGACGGTAGTGCATTGTTTGGTTTGGTCCATGAGGTCTGTTCTGGCTTTGCCTTTTTTTGGGTGCAATTTACTTACTTGGCTTTGTTGTTGTTGTTGTTATTTTTTTTTTTTACTTTTTAGTAAAAAATGGTCTATGAGATTTGCATAATACATAACTTTAATCCTTAAGATTTAAAATCAATAGAAGTGGTTTATAAGATTGTCCACCATCTATTATTTTGGTTATTCCATTAAAAAACTCCATTAAGTTGAGAGAATAACACATAACTTTAGTCCCTGAGATTTACAAACACATAATTTTGGTCCCTAAAATTTGCATAACACATAACTTTGGTTCCTGAAATAGTCTATCATCCATCATTTTGATCATTTCATTAAAAAGCTCAGGACCACTTAACGGAGTTTTTTAAATGAAGGACCAAAATAATGGATGGTGAACAATCTCAATGACCACTTCTATTGATTTTAAATCTTATGGACCAAAGTTATGTGTTATGAAAATTTCAGGAACTATTTTGGTTAAAAAGTTTTTTTATATAGTAAAAGTACCGTATATATAGACCTCAATACGTGTAGATGAAGGCCTTCCCTCCCTATCTCGATGCCTTTCAATTTGGCGTTAAGCAGCAAGTACTGCATGTGTTGTCAAACGCCACCACGACCAACGAACATAATCAAGGCCAAAACCCAAGGGTCGGTTCAGCGACCATGAGCAACTTCAATTGGAGTCGAATTCTTATAGATGGATTTTGTGGGTCATCGACTCTGTTTTGCTTTACTGTTTTATTTAAACGTCAAATGTACGTTGTAGTCTCATGCAGTATCAGAGCTATATGATAAGTTAGATTAGTTTATCTTTAATTTGTGGTGAGATACTTTATATATTTAAATAATATAAAAACATCATCAAGGCCAATGTTGACAATTCCCCAATTTATTTATTTTTTTGGTCAAACATAAACTTCATTCATATAAAAAAATGTTACAAGTGACAAACTTAGAGTGTGTTTGTCGCACCGAACTATCTCAAAATAGACTAATTTCATAGGCTAAACTGCATTTACTTAGATTGGACTAATCAGTGTAAAAATTATGAAGTGTTTTAAAAACCTAATTAATTTTCTCCCTTGATTTTATCGCAACCAAATAATTAATTTTTCTACATTGGAATTGGATTGAGCAAAAACTCCCAAATAAAATAGTAATTTTCATAAGAACACATTACAATTACAAACTATAAAATTCAACTTTTCGAAAACAAAAACCAAAAAAAAACCTGAGTAGAGCTTACAAAATTACAAAGTGAAGCCCTTCAAATACTCGGGATCGCGCTTATCCCTCTCCTGAAACTTCTTAAACCACGGGTCCGAGATATCCATCGGCACCACTTGCTTGCTGCCATCCATGATGGCAGACGACCGCATTACAAATTCTCCCTAACCTTCTTCATTGCCAACCACTTGATTCGCTTCTTGGTAGTAATGTCCAGCGATGGTAGCGTCACCATGACCTCTATCAACACGCCGATTTTAGCCGACAACGACGTCGTGTCGGCTGTGAGCTATAGTTGTTCTCCAGGCTCGGGCCAAGCACTGTCAATGGCCTGGCCATGGTAACAACGCTGAAGAACAATAAGGCAAAGCCCGGGGATTGGATGTCAAGGTTTAGTAAGCGAAAGCTTAGGACTGGATGTCGGGCTCGTTTCCTTTTTAGTCCCACTTAATACCAAGCAAAAGTTTGGGACTAGATAACAGGTTTAGCGAAGCTCAGAGCGCCTTTTAATCGAGGTGAGTCTTATTTATTCTAGTCCAAGACCATACCAAACGTTGGATTACAATCCTAATTAAGCCAGTCTAAGCCAGTCCCTCATAAAGAGGGGTAACAAATGCACTCTTAAAGAAAAGTTCACTACTACGAAACCATTTATTAGTGTTGTTATGATAATCGACAAGAAACATGGATCACTATTAGATATTAAGCAAAATCCGACAGAAATACTTTAAAACCGACAGAAATTGTGTCAGATATAATCGACAGAGAATAAATTAATAATGAATAAATAAGAGCATTCTTTGTCAGATAAAACCGACATAAAATATATAAAATCGACAGAACTTGTGTTGGCTATAACCGACAAGGAATATATTAATAATAAGTAAGAGCATTCTCTGTCGGATAAAACCGACAACAAATATATTAATAATAAAAAAAATAAAAAGGATATGAGAGCATTCTTCTTGTTCTCGTTCTCGTTGAGCATTCTTCTCCCTTTCTGCTTGAAATGACCCAACATGCTTGAACCAGATTCTGCAACTAATGAGCAAATCAGATTGAGCTAATAAGGTACACCATATTCTTCAATTCTTCAAGATGGAAGATACTCATGAGAGATTAAGACATCAACAACATTTAGCAGTATCTCTTCCCTCTTACCATTTCTACAGCTAAAAAATAAGGAGAAAAAATGGCGCACTCCACCAAAGCTTCTCTATATGCTTCCCTTCCTACAATTCATCTTGAATATACAAAGCACAAGGTACAAAGATCAGTAAATAGATTAGTAGTAGTAGTTGAGTAACCGCAAAAGGAAAGAAGCCTACATGTTTCTTAGACTCCTCGACATTCTCTTCAGTTGAGTCCAGTTTAGATTCCGCATTAGAGTCATCTTCTGCATCATCTGTGTTGGCATCATCCTCTTCCTCAGCCTGAAAAAACACGGCAAAGTTGTTAGGGACCGCAGAAAAAGATGACAGAGCTAATAAACTCTCAGGTGTCAGTTTCATATGCTTGCATCAGAGTCAACTAGATCTTTTGCATCCTGGTAAAAGGATTAAGGTAACAAGTTAATAAGCATGAAAAAAAAACACGATTACTGATTGTGAAAATAATTTTGGACTACTCGAATAAATCCCTGAATATCTATGAAATCCCAATAAGATGGAGCCTTTATTGATATCTTCCAAAATATGAATTATTCATATCCAACAAAAACATACATTAAATCATAGGTGGAAGCATGTGGAAGGACTTATAGCGCTTTGCTTGTCTCTATGCTCAAGGGCTTGCATAGCTTTTGCCTTGTTCATCCATGGTGATTGAAGCGAGAAGGAGAAGGGGAGAAGAGAAGGAGAAGGAAATGAGGACATGAGAAAAAGGGGAAGGGAGAAGCACCGGCTCAAGGAAGAGATAGAAGGGTTTTATTTTGGAAATTTTTCTTTACTGTTGGTTAAAACCGACAAAAACATTTTTTTTAAAAATAAAAACCGATTGAAAATTATCATTACTATCGGTTATAACCAACAGAAACAAAATGACGGCAAAAATCCCTCCGAATTTCCCTCGGAAAAATTTTAAATCCCCCCCCCCAACCCAAAATTTTGTTACGATTTTAAAGAATAAAATAATAATTGTTTGATTTAACAAATAAATAAATAATATGTATTTAAATAAAATACATTTTTAAATTTTAAATAAATAATTGTTTGGTTTAATAGATAGTTTTTACTCTTTTGGTTTAATAGATAATAACCCGTGTAAAATATGCGATAAAAAAATAAAAAGAGAATTGTACACTGAAAATGTCATCACACAAACTAAATATTGTCTAATCCATACATGAAAAACATAAATAAAAATTTAGCACAAATTACTTTTCCCACTTCAAAATTTAGGCAAATTTAACAGAGATATGCATTCTACGAAACTAGTTTCCATAATCTAACCGTCAAACTTGTTTGTAGATACTACAAGATCGCATACATTAAAAATGGCAAAAAAAACATTTAGAGATTAGGTAACGGAACAAATGTTTTCGACGGTTATAAACGAAAAATCACAATTTAAAGGTTATTTTCGCTCCGACTTTGATGATTTTTTTACAGCTGCACTCCTCGACCCTATAAGAATGCAATGAACGAATTCGATTTTCAATTTAAAATATTTACACTAGTGGATAAATCTTATTTTATACTTAATGGAAGTATAATATTAACTCTAAGTGTTTGTTTAATATACCGTTTTGACGCGATATGCATTCTACGAAACTTTTCAACGATCCAACTGTCAAACTTATTTGTACACACTCCAAGATTGCATATGTAAAAAATCATAAAAAACAAACATTCAGAGATTACGTAATAGAACAAAAGTTTTCGACGGTTATAAACAAAAAATCACAATTTAACGGTTATTTTAGTTTCGATTTTAATGATTTTTTACAGTTACACTCCTCAACCCTATAAGAATGTAATGAATAAATTTGATCTTCAATTTAAAATATTTACATTAGTGGATACCACAAAATCTTATTTTATACTTAATGGAAGTATAACATTACCTCTTAAGTGTTTATTTAATCTACCGTTTTGACACGATACACATTCTATGAAGCTTTTTTCAATGATCTAACTGTCAAACTTATTTGTACACACTCTGAGATCGCATACGTAAAAAATCACAAAAAACAAACATTCAGAGATTAGGTAACAGAATAAAAGTTTTCAAAGATTATAAACGAAAAAATCACAATTTAACGGTTACTTTAACTCCGATTTTGATGATTTTTTACAGATACACTCCTCGATCCTATAAGAATGCATTGAATGAATTCAATCTTCAATTTAAAATATTTACATTAGTGGATACCACAAAATCTTATTTTATACTTAATGGGGAAGTATAACAGTAACTCTAAGTGTTTGCTTAATCTACCATTTTGATGCGATATGACTTCTATGAAATGCTTTTCAACGATCCAACTTGTTTGTACACACTCCGAGATCGCATAAGTAAAAAATCGCAAAAAACAAACATTCAGAGATTAGGTAACGGAACAAAAGTTTTCAATGTTTATAAACGAAAAATCACAATTTAACGGTTATTTTAGCTCCGATTTTAATGATTTTTTACAACTACACTCCTCGACCCTATAAGAATGTAATGAATAAATTTGATCTTCAATTTAAAATATTTACGCTAGTGGATACCTCAAAATCTTATTTTATACTTAATGGAAGTATAACATGAACTCTTAAGTGTTTATTTAATCTCCAGTTTTGATGCGATACACATTCTACGAAAAAATTTTCAATGATCTAACCATCAAACTTATTTGTACACACTCCGAGATCGCATACGTAAAAAATCACAAAAAACAAACATTCAGAGATTAAGTAACATAACAAAAGTTTTCGACGGTCATAAATGAAAAATCACAATTTAACGGTTACTTTAGCTCCGATTTTGATGATTTTTTACAGCTACACTCCTCGACCCTATAAGATATTCATTTAAAATATTTACACTAGTAGATACCTCAAAATCTTATTTTATACTTGATGGGAAAGTATAACATTAACTATAAGTGTTTGTTTAATCTAGTGTTTTGATGCGATAAGCATTCTACGAAATATTTTTCAACAATCCAACCATCAAACTTGTTTGCACACACTTCGAGATCGCATATGTAAAAAATTACAATAAAAAAACATTTAGAGATTAGATAACGGAACAAAAGTTTTCGATGGTTATAATCGAAAAATCACAATTTAACGGTTAATTTAGCTCCGATTTTGATGATTTTTTTACAGCTACACTCCTCAACCCTACAAGAATGCAATGAATGAATTCGATCTTCAATTTAAAATATTTACACTAGTGGATAAATCTTATTTTATTCTTAATGGAAGTACAACATTAACTCTTAAGTGTTTATTAAAATATTTAAACCATGTGTTTATTTATTTATTTATTTTTAATCAATATAATATTTTAAAATAATAAAATAGTCAATTATGTCGATTATAACCGCCAGAATACTAAAATAATAAAATAGTCAATTTATGTCGGTTATAACCGGCTAACCGCTATCATTAACTAAAAACCGTTGGAATATGTTAAAAATAAATTTCTGTCGGTTATAACCGCCAGAAACTAAAATAATAAAATAATCAATTTCTGTCAGTTATAACCGCCACAATTAACTAAAACCGCCGGAATATGTTAAAAATATTTAAAAAAAAAGAATTCAAAAATATTGGCGAATATAACCTGCAGGATTTTATTGTTATCCGACACTAACTAAATAATAGTGTCGGATATCTTTTATCCGACATAATGGCTTATTAAACCGCCACCATCATTCAACATCTAAAGCTAATATTGTAGTAGTGGTTGCTAGTAGGTCAAGTGGACAAAGAAACCTAAGCAAAGTACATGATGAACCAATTAGACTTCGTTGTTGACACAAGACGCTAATGCCAAAAGCATCATGCACCTTATCAATCCATCGTTCGAGTTAGCTGATACGCAGTCAACGCCAACCAAACACAAGGGCCATAAAATAAAACCACAGATGCAAAATAATACCAAATGAACAAATCTAATTCCACTAAACAAAAGCAAAGATGCACAAAGAATACATTAATTTGCCTCTAAAAAGCTTAGCAACATATATATATATAAGCAACCAAAACCAGCAACTATATTCACCACTCGAAGACCAACAAGGGAAGACTTATGATGCCAACAAAGCAAAAAGAAAGAACACCATCAGAAATGTAAAAGGAGGCGGCCCGCATGCCTAAACCAGCTTCAAAACGGTTTCGCACACCTTCATATAAGTGAGCGACGACTCGCTCTCGAGGTGGGTAGCAAACACAGTGGCCAACAAAGGCTTCTCAATTGAAAGCAAGCACTGTAGCAGGTAATTGAAGGATTTATGGGCGGAAGATTATGAAGGTAGAAGAAAGCTCTCGTGTGAAGCATCGAGGAAGGATATCTAAGTAGTTGTTTGGGTTAGGGATTAGAGATAAATTTAAGACTAATTTAGTTATGGTGCAACAAAACCGAAATTCTTCAAGAGGTGAGTGAAAAATCAAAAGAAGGGGACGAAGCACCCGATGGAGTTTTGAGCTCCCATTGTCCCACATCGGGAAACAACAATTTGTCAAAGGCCTTTATAAAGGTCAAGTCATTTTTATTAGTGATTAGGTGTTGGACCATTTGGAATGAGTATTGAGGTTTGGGCCACTAATTGTGTGGATTAGGCTTGATGATTATACTATAATATTAATATAAAAAATTTTGATTGTACTATAACATTTGGAATGAGTATTGAAGTCCTTAGTTCCATAAAAAATCATCTTTTCTTCCTCCTTGTGCTTCCGTACAAAATTTTCAGAGAGTAAACACAAAAAGCAATTTGCTAGAGTTCTACAATCCAGTGCGGGTTGTAGAATTAGGTAGTTGTATCCTGGTCGAGCAGACGTTATAGAACCATAAGCATTAGAGTGGGACGAAAATACTGTTCGAAAGACATAGCTTTTGTGCTAACCTCTACCTTCAATTCATTCAAGTTAGTATCATTTTAATTTTTTGTAATTATTGTGTAATTGCATTCTGTATTGCAAGTATTTTTGAATAATAAAGTATAAGTATTTTGGTTATGTATTTCTGTTATTTTGTTGTTTCTAAATTGTTCTCCAACAATCTTCGAACAATATGGAACAATCAGGAACTAAACCTAATTCTAAGAAGCCTGAGAAATTTAAGGGCGAAGACTTCAAAAGATGGCAACAGAAGATGTTGTTTTATTTGACAACATTGAGTTTGGCTAAAGTTTTGCCCGAGACAGTGCCTACTGCAGATGGAGGAAATATTTTTTTTGCAGAAGCTTTAACGGCCATAGATGCCTGGAATCATA